TCATTCCTTTTTATGGATGAATAATATTTCATTGATTATCCATTCACCTACTGTTGGACATTTGGGTTGTTTTCCATTTTTGGCTGTCATGAATAATGCTGCTATAGACATTTGTATGCCAGTTTCTGTGTGGAGATATGTTTTCATTTTTCTTGGATATGTACCTAGGAGTGGGTTTCTGGGGCATAGGGAAATTCTATGCTTAACTTTTTGAGGAACGGCCAAACTGCTTTCCAAAGTGACTGCATCATTTTATGCTCTCACCAGTAAGACATGAGTGTACCAATTTCTCCACATCCCCACCAATAATTCTTTTCATTTTTTTAGATTATAGCCATCCTGGTGGGTATAAAGTGGCATCATATTATGGCTTTGATTTTTCACTTTCTTAATGACCAACAATCTTGAGCATCTTTTCATGTACATGTTGGGCATTTATATATCTTCTTTGGAGAAATGTCTGTTCAAATCCTTTGCCTATTTTTATATTGGGTTGTGTGATGGTTAATTTTATGTGTCAACTTGACTAGGCCCACATATTTGGCCAAACATTATTCTTGGTGTTTCTGGGAGCGTGTTCTTGGATGTATAACATTTATATCGGTAGACTGAGAAAAACAGATTGCCCTTTCTAATGTGGGTGGGCCTCATCCAATCAGTTGAAGGCCTGAATAGAACAAAAAAGCTGCCTTCCTGGAGTAGGAGAGAATTCTGCTGCCTTCTAAGTGGGACATGGGTTTTTTCCTGACTCCAGACTTGAGCTTGAACTACACCATTGGCTCTCTTGAGCCTCCAGCTTGCTGATTATGAAAGGCTTTGTTGGCTGTTAAGGAGTTGGAGCCCTCTGAGAAAGAGGGGAAGTACAAAACTTCCTCTCAGTGAATGGAGCTGCAGGAAGGCCCAGGGATGCTTCCAGGTGCCTTACAGAGGATGTGTGGGACGCAGGTGGAGTGTAGGGTCTGGCTTAGGGTCCAGGCTCCTTGAAGTTTGAATCCTGTCTCTGTCACCCATCAGGGGAAGAATGGGGTCAAGCAAATGAATTCTGGAGTCTCTGATGAGATACCTAAGACTTCTTTTTCTTGCCTGCAAGAAAAGGATGATGAGGATGTCCTGGCTTGAGTGCCGCTACACACAGGCAGTCTGCCCTTGGCCCTTGGGAGCCGAAGATCTGACCCGCATAAAGACGAGGACACTTCTACCAATTCCCTGAGAAGGTACAGGGAAAGTAGAAACGGAGGGAAGTTAGGTGAGGGCCCTCTATGACATAGTTTGGGGTCCAGGCTGGCTCTCCAGGCCCCTCTCTGGCTGGTCCGATGGGAGAGGACATGAAGGAGGCAGAGAGCTCCAGCCTTCTGTCCCAAGCACTGAACCTTCCCTTGCACAGGGCTTCCTGATTCCTGGGTAAATCTGAATATCAGAGTCATCCAGTTTGACTCTTCTGGCCTAACCGTCCCTGCTGAGTGGCAGCAGGGGCGCTGGGGGGTGGGGCATCTTTATTGTCCGAGGCAGACAGAAGGAGGCTGAGCTCTTTGAGAGGAGTTCTTGCAGTCGCTGTGATGGTCCCATGAGGCGATGCTTTCAGTGTGCTGAGCTTGTGTCAGGCATGCATAGGTGCTCAGAAAGCGTTCGCTGATGGATGAATAGTGTTTTCATTTTCTATTTTAATTCGCCGTGTGGTTTGGGCAAGTTGCTTAACCTCTCTGAACCTTAGTTTTTTTGGCCTGTAAAATAGATTGTTCTCTTCCTTGGAGGGTATGGTGTGGATTAAGACGTAGTATATACTGGCACATAGTAGGTGCTCTAGGGAGGAAGAGAAAGGTTGGGAAGGCAGCTCTGCCGGCCCCAAACCTGGAGCCTGGCACTGTCGTATCTTGCAAGCCTATGGCTGACAGGAGAGAGTCCCCATCCATCCTCCCCCACCTCTGATCTTTCGTTCTCACTGTCCTCACTCTCTCTTACCCCACTTATCTGCATCCTCTCCTTGCTCCAGGACGTCCAATCCATCATTCAGCCCTCTGTCCGTATGCAGGCTGATCCCACTCTTATCAAAAGCCACGCAGGGGCTGATTTGCTGACTCCTCCTTCCGACCCCAGCTCCCTCCTCCCCTTTCCCTGCCTCCCCCAGACAGAAGGGGGGACTGAGATAATGAATGAGGCTCTTCTGAGCATAACAATGCAGAAAAGCAGTGTGTTCAGCTGAAGAGCCAACCCAGAGGAGGAAGGCAGAGAGTTGTGACGAGATGTTGGGGCGATGGCTGGCCGGCAGGCTGGTGGACGCAGGAACCCAGTGATGCTGGGCGTGCAGATGGGGATATTGGGCAGCAAGAGTTTCCCCCTATGTCCCCCACCCCCACCCCCGCTGAGTTAGAAGGTCTCTGTGGGGGAGGCACGGGGCAGGGTGGGAAAGTGGCGTCCAGTCCTTGTTCTGCTCTGCACTTCTGTGTGGCCTCGAGTGAGTCACCGGCCACATCAGGCCTCTGCGGCCACATTTGCATCACGACACCCTTTTGTGTGCCAGGCCCTGGGGTCCAGCAGGGAACCCCACAGAGGTGCCCTTAGGCATCTTACCATCTCTGGGAGACATGGCTGCAAATTAGGTTGTCATACTTCTCTCTCCCCCACTTAACCTGTGATAAGTACTTCCGTGGGAAGTTCGGGGGCTCTAACCCCGGCAGGGGCCATCTGACAGAAAGAGGAAGCGGGTGGGGATGCAGGGAGAGCAGAGTGGTCCAGGCTGAGGGAACGGCTTGGAGGGGAGGCTAGGTGGGAGATGGAGGCTGGGCCATCACTGTGGGCAAGGAAGGCTGTGCTTACAGTTTTATGCTATAAAATGATTTATAGAATATTTATTATAAATGTATTATAAAATAATAAGTAAAATAGAATTATTTTATTCTATCATGGGGCAGTCACCGGACCATTTAAAGCAGGAGGACGACGTGACCTGGTCTGTTTAGGAGATGGCCCTGGGCTCTGGGGTGGGGAGTGGATTGGGAAGGTGAGGGCAGCTCAGGGATCGGCTTGGAGGCCACACGGGTTCCTGGGGCCAGGGAAGCTGCCACCCGCATCTCAGAGCCTGATTGAAGACAGGTCAACTCCACAGAGGTCCCTGGTGAAGGTCCCAGTCTACAAAGATGCCGAAACTGAGTGACAGACTGACTGGAGATCGTGCCTCATTTGAAGAGCTGCCTGATGGGAGGCTCCTCTCGAATGAGACCGAGGCTCTGGCTCTGTGAAGTCGTACCCCAGACCAGCTCGTGATCGGGCCCAGATCCGGATGGCGGTGGAGAGGGCACGAGAAACGGGCAAATCCAAAAGTAGGAGGCAAGGGAAGGGGGGCTTGGCCATCGACAGTTGGTGTCAGCGTCATTGTTATTATATGCCCTCTGTCCACACTGCTGTCCCCCGCCATGGACACAAGGTGCCCTCCACCTTGTCCTGACCTTGTCTTGCTCAGGTTCCAGATAAGTCTTCTCCAAATCCAGGGCCCTGGAGCCAATATCCTGTGTCCCCCGACAGCCTTGCTTTCAAACCCTCTGCGCTGCTGCACCGCACGCTGCCCTGAGTCTGAACTGCAGTGTGTGGGCTGTCATTTGGGGGTGGGGCCAGAGGCACTGAAGGCCACTGCAGGCCAGCAGGCAGCAGCAGCTGTCACTGTTGTCCTGACCTGCCTGTCCTTCTCACAGGCCCTGAACTCATTTCCGAGGGAGACACTCTGGCCGATCAGCCCCAGCCCATCCTCTTGCCTTTTGCACAGCCCGACACCGGGTGGCCCAGGTCCACCCTGTCCTCCGTGTCCAAGTCAGGCACCCTTAGACTCCCATAATAAAACCTGGGTCAACCCTGGTCCTGACCGTTGTCACAAGCATGTGCGCATGTGTGTACGTGTGTGTCCTCACGCCCGCCTGCTCACTCGTACTAGCCGTCTGGTGCAGACCATCCTGCAGCTCCCATGGCCTCGTGTCTGGCTGAGTCCACAGCAGGGCAGTTCTTCAGGGCCTGCTGCTGCTTTGGCACAATTCCCAGTTCTGGTCCCCAGTCCCCTCCCAGGCCTGGGCTGCTGGCTCTGCCTGGTTGCCATCCAGGAAGGCGGCCAGCCCATCTCTGCTCCTGAGCCTGAAGCCTGATGGGAGTGCCTAAGTTTCCCCATCTGTACAGCAGAGATAATAATGGTCCCCACTTCACAGGGTTGTGGCACGGATGAAATCGGGGAAAGGACTCAGTGCAGAGTAGGTGCTCAATACACATTAGCTACTGGTTTCATGAAATGACATTTGGGGCCTTCTGACGGTGCGAATGAGAAAGAGAAGCTCTCTCTCTCTCTTTGGCATTGCTGAATGCGCCCCTGGAGCTGCTAGAGGAATTTCGCCATCCTGGGGGAGAGCCAGCCGGACCCCAAATGCAGCGCAAAGGAAAGCGGTGCTCGGAGACAGGGAGAGGAGGACTGAATCCTGGTGATGGCCCTTGAGTTCCTTGATCCAGCAGTTCCTGAAGACCCACCCCTGGACTATTCAGGCACATAACCGATCAAGTCTGTTTTCTTCTTCCTTTTTTGCTTAAGTCCCTTTGAGTTAGATTTCTGTCATTTGTAACAAAAAAAGAGTCTTAATGGGTATCTGTCCACCCATCCATTCATCCGTCCGTCTGTCCATCCGTCTGTCCGTCCGTCCATCCGTCTGTCCGTCCGTCCATCCGTCCGTCCATCCATCCACAGGTCCGAGCTGTGTGGGCTTTAGGCACATCGCTTCCTCTCTAGGACTTAGTTTCTACATCTGTAAACTGGGAATTTCATCGCCTATGTTATGAGGTGGTTTCCAGGCTCACTGGGCAGCTCATGTGGAGCACCAAGCTCAGTACTAAATGCAGAGGAGGGGCTCAGTCGGTCTCTCTCCCACCCTCTAAGTCCGGCCCCATCCCTGTGCAGGTGTGTCTGGAAAGCCAAGGCCAGATCCCCACCCCGCTCCACACCCCCTTCCCTCCTCTGAGCTGCAGAATCCGGTTGGTACAGCCTTTATTGTTTCTCCAGCATTTTCCAGAGGAATGGTGTAATTCAAGGGCTGAAGGGGGTGGGGAGAGTAAAAAATAACATAAACAAACGGAACAGAAACGCAGGAGGGCAGGAAGAGGGGCTGAGATTGGCGGTTTGGGGCAGAAAGGTGGGAGACCTGGGGCGGTCAGAGCCTCTTAGCTTTCAGCCACCAGAGTGGAGAATTCTGCAAAAGATAAACGACACAGAGGTGAGTCAGAGGGAGACAGCGCAGAAGTGACTGGCCGCGGCCCGCCTGCCGGGCGCCCGCACGAGGCGTTTTTTCTTGTTTCTCACACCTGCTGAGGAGACCGGGGTGAGTGTGGGAATGAATGAATGAATGAACGAACAAATGAAGTGGGATGGGAAATGGCGAGCCTGGGAAATCTGTCTCACGATGGCGTGCCACCCGCGAGGAGTGTCTGGGGCTCCCTTGAGGTTCGCCCGGCCCTCCCCACTCTTTGGATGAAGCACACATGTCATTCCTTAGTTTTTACCACGGTGCCACGGCTATGCAACATGTTAGCATTAGGGGGTGCGGAGTGAGGGGTACACGGAGCTCTGTGCTATCGTTTACGGTAAAGCCAGAATTATTTCTGGATAAACAAGTGACAAAAGAAAAACCAACCAGACCAACGTGTGCTATGGTCATAGCAATGACCCGGTGTTGACTCATCTGAGTGGAGGGACCGGGGCTCCGCCCCTTTCAGGTGTCTGACCTGGGAAATGGACACTGCCCTCTCCTGTTCCCAGGCTGACCCCGGGGACAGGAAAAGGAGGTGACCGGATGTGGGGGCCTGGGTACCACTCAGGGTAGGAGAGCGGGAGGGTCCTCCAGCTGCTCCCGAGAAGCCCAGGGTCACGGGCGAGGCGGTAGCAGGGAGTGGCGGAGACAGAACCTGAACACCAAACGCTGTAAAAATCGCTCCCACGGGCTGAGTTTCAGAGCGTTCGCTTTCTCAGCCGTGAGCTCCTACGATCCCACAGCACCTCGTAAGGTAGGCAGTTCTTTCAAGATGTCTTTTATCATTAATACTTTGATTAACATTGTTCATCTTCATAGAATTTAAAAATTCTTATTTATTGAATGCCTATATGGGAAGTGTTTTGCACATATTATCTCATTCGGTTCTCACCACTACCCCACGGAAGCGATGCTTTTTTCTGCATTTTACAGGTAGGAAAACTGAGGCCCAAGGGTGCAGTAGCTCAAGCAAGATCAGGGAGCAGATGTGATCCAAGCCACGCTCGGAGGCTCCTTCCTCACCCGGGAGGTTCCCGACCTACTTTGACCTAGGTGTAGAGTGACACACGAGCCAGCTCAAATATCGTCACCATGACTCTGTCATCTCAGCCCTTTTTAATTTACTTCTTGCTACTTAGCACTCTGGAATGATCTTATTTACGTACATATTTTTATCGCTCTCCCTCTACCAGGATGTAAACTCCAGGTGGGCAGGGAGTCTCATCTGTCCTGTTCTCCACTCTCTTAGCAACAGGACAGGCCCAGTGGGGCAGGTGCTAATACACACATGCTGAAGGATGGGCTGAAGGACAGAGAGAGGGGTGGATGGATGGCCCACGAGTTCTTCTTAGGGTTCAGCGAGTACTGACTCACCTCATATAACTCTCGCGACAGCCTCGGGAGGTAAGAAGGATGATTCCCGTTTTATAGATGGGGAAATGGGGGTCAGGGTTATGAGAAAATAAGAGACAGAGGCAGGACATGGCCTGTAATCTCAGGAACATCCCTACGTGAATGGGGAGAGGTCGTTCCCGATGGGGTCGGCATCCCAAATGGGGTGGAAGATTGAATGAACTCTCCCCAGATTCAACCTGCTATTTAATCTGGAAAACTGGTCAGAGCCAGTTTACCCTGTCCTTGGGCACCGAGTTGCTCTGTCATGGGGTAAAGGAGACGTGAGTCTGTCCGCCAACGCTGGCTCGTGGCAAGAGTGTCAAGAGGAGAAGCTGTTTCTTGACCTACACTGACCTCTCTGACCCTCATCCTAGAAATGATGGATGCTTGGCTGCCCATCAGCAAAGAGTCCATTAACCACCTTCACACGGGAGGGGGACCAAGGAATGCCAACCAAGGGACACTCCTGAGGTAGAAAGTCAGGCATTTTGGGGTCTGACTATGTGACCTATTTTGGACCTTTAGGGTTTTTAAAAGCCTCTGAAAACAGACCCCTCTCACCACCCCGTGATCCACTCCGAAGCAGCCAAAATGTCACAATGCCACATGCCCTGGCTTTTTGCAGAAAACATGGGATTCTAATTTTATCCTCTCGGAACCTAGAGAAGGGCACTTTGCAGACAAATTGAGGGCAGGGGTCACCTCTTCTGCTCCGGTGGTATCTCCCTCAAGGCAGAGCTCTTAGGAGCAAACCAATTAACGGACGGCCCTCCTATCAAAAAAAAGTCTCCTCTACAATGTCCACTTTCCTCCTTAGAGAAAAACAAGGACGTACAAAGACACTGTAAAGTCTAGGTCAGCTGATTTGGTGGTAGGATGCCGGGACGGGGAACGGGGCATCGGAGGACGGGGTTCTAGTCTTGGCTCTGCCATCACTCACGTCCCTGGACGAGACGCCTCACCCTCCCAGGTCCTGGTTTTCTTGCCTGTGCAGTGTTGGCTCTGCCACAGTGTTTGCAGTAAGGGAGCTGGGAGTCGACTCCCAACACCCATTTCTTGCTTCTGTGACCTTGGACGAGCTACTTTACCTCGTCGTGCCTCAGTTTCCTCATCTGTAAAATGGAGCTCCCTGGGTCATTCAGAGGAACCAGCACTAAGCTCTTGTGGCATGCCTGATACAAGGCCAGCGCTCAGCATTTGATAGCTATTGTCGTCAAGATGCTTCTACAGCTCCAAGCCCGCGAAACGCCTGGCTACTACCACCTGGCGAGGACTCCACCAACGGCACCATGATTTATGTTTCTCAGGATTGTTGTTGCTGTCTCCCACCATTTCCTGTCCCTGTCTGGTATCTGCATACAACCTTCTAGCAACCCTGGAGCTGAATCTTGTTCCATCACTTCCTGGCTGGGTGGCCTGAGGCCACTACTTTCCTCTCCGAGCCTCGGTTTTCTCATTTGTAAAGTGGGTACGATTCTGCCTACTTGGATGGCGATTCGGAAGACCGAAGAGAATATAACAGAAAGGGCCTGGCGCACAGTAGGCGGTCTATACATGTCAGTTCCTCTTCCCTCGGATGTCAGCACAAGTGACACAGGTTGGAGCTCTGAAGTAACAACAGTAGCCACACAAGTCCTGAAACTAAGACAAGGAAGATGTAAACAGACGGCACAGGGGAGCCTGAAGAGCAAGCAGCTGCCCTGGTAGAAGCTTCTGACACTAATCTATCCCATCTGAGTGAAGGTCCCACCTCCAGCATAGCCATCTGTGGAAACTCTGCCCCTCGGTTTCGGCAGCTGTAACATGGGGATAGTGAGAGTATCTCGTTTTAGAGTTAGGGTGGGGGCTACGTGAGATGATGGATGAGAGAAATGCCTTGTACGGTGATGCCTGGCATACACAGGGCACGCAGTGAAATCAACCTTATTGCTGAGGTGTGAGGGAGAGCATGCCTTGGAGGGATCCAGAGTCCTTCCTCCTATCAGAATGCAATTGTAGCCCTACCTTTCTTTGCGGTGGAAGCCTCACCCAAGGCCCCTGAGGCCAGCTTGCTGGCTTCTTCATCATCCAATCAGAAAGAGACCAGCGTTAGGGGCGGGGCTGGGAAGCAGCCGACACAGGGGCAGAGGATGGGAGGACTCAGTTCCTTCTTTTCCCTTAGGAAACTGAAATGAGCCTAATTAGGTCTGTCCCAGTGCTGGGTGCTGTGGGGATTGGACAAATTTAGAAGCCATTGACAGGTGAGGCCAGCACACCCTGATGGCCCGAGGTGAAACCGAGATGGACATTGAGTCAGCGCCTGGAAGGCTGTTTCCTTCCCTCTGTCGAGATGACCAGGAGGGCACCAACTCCTGGTTTATCACCTCGCCTCTAAATAGCTCCCGGGCGGGGTGTCTTATAAACTGCTATTGCACACAGAGATCACCTTTCGAATCCAGAGAACGGGGAGGCGGGGTCACCTGGGGTCAGGCCAGGCGGCTGCGAGGAGCCTGCGTAAACAGCCCTGGGGGGCCAGGCTATCCTAGGCGCTGCCCCCTGTGTCACCTCATCTCACCTTCACCAGCTCTCTTCTCTCCCCTCTACTTACAGGGAAACTCAAACTGAGGGGCACACGGCCAGGAGGATTCAGACTCAGGCGTGGCTCCGGCCAGGTGCATCCCGTTCTGAGGGGGAGTCGAACCTGGGTTCTGACTCAAGCTGTAACCCACAGAGGCAGGAGAGGGATCCACGGAGGGCAAGTCTTCCCTCCACCCTCACCACCGCTCCCGCTGATAGGAGGCGGTCGCATAAGGAGGGCCACTTTCTCTCCCTCTGCTAGATCTTACCTAGTGCAGGTAAGGCTGGGGTTAGGGCGGTCCACGTGGGAGTTAAAGCGAGCATCTTGCTAAGCTCAGAAACCATTTAGAACTCGAATGTCTCCGCCCAGCCTGGTGGAGGGAGCGGCATTCCATTCGACTGAGGATTTGCTCTATGACTCCGGCATTTAATGCCCACTGGGTCTCAGTTTCCACGTCTGTCAGTAGGGATCACAGACTGTCCTCCCGACTTTATCGGGCTGGTCGAGAATGCAATGAGATGGGACAAAACATTCTACACTATAGTACTCTGCCAGTGTCCTCCCGACTTTATCGGGCTGGTCGAGAATGCAAGGAGATGGGACACCGTAGTACTCTGCCAGCAGGGCCGTGGATTGGCCCTGATGAGCACATCCGGCCTGGCTTAGAGATCCCATGTCATAGTGGCCAGAGGGCTGGAATTACAGGGAGGCTGGCGAGACTCCATCCATCCTTCTCACTTCCCTCCTATCTTAGACTCAATTTCATCTCCTCTGAGGACCGCTATTCCACTACTTCCAAAGGGTTTTAAGGTGGCTTACAAGAGAAAGCATTCACATAAAAGGAAAGGAAAGGAATAATTTCCAGAATGCTGACTAATTCAAGCAACAAGCCTTCGAGGTGGGTATTTTTGGAGGTGTCGAGAGGGATGCCCAGAGAGAGAAAATGCCTGACTTCACGTGTTTCAGCCCCGGGGCTTCCTCCCTCATTCTCACCCCCCAAGTTAAAAAGGCTACTTATGGATAAAAGAGAATGGATTTTGCCAGAAAGAAGCAGAAAAGACAAATGCCTGGAGGCATGTGTGAGTGGAGCGGAGTTCAAGCCGTCATCACGACTAAATTTTATAGCAACAGAAGCGAAAAGCAAACCACAGGCTCTTGAGCTAGAACCGGCTCGAAGCGTAGGAAATGGGATCGGGTTTCAGGGAGACTAACTGGGACTGTGTGTGTGCAAGCGAGTGTGTGTGCGTGCGTGCGTGTGCGCGTATACGGGGTGCGCATATCTATAGCATGGTGGGGAAGAGAGAGGTATTTGGAGTCAATGTCAAGGTCTGAAGCGGACCCCAGTGTTGAAGAGATGTGTGATCCTGGGCAAGTCGCCCACTTCCCTGAGCCTCGGTTCCCTTGTCTGTACAGTGAGGACACATCTCGCGGAGCTGTTGTGAGGACTGAATGAGCTCAGAGGGAAGGCCTGTGTGCTGTCCCCTGGGGCACGGGGAGTGCCACGCGATGGTAAGCGCTCTTCCTGTCCGCCGGCACGTCCCAGGTGGGCAGCTCTGCGTGTGGAGAGCCCGGGCTGGGCACACGTGCCTGTGAGAGAGGCAGGGTGGCAGAAGGTCCTGGCTGGACCTCTGAGCCCCAGTCCTGGCTCTGCTGCTGAATGACACCGGGCATGCTACTTAACGTCTCAAGGCCTCGGTTTCCTCCTTTGTGAAATGGGAAAAGTGATGGCACCTGCTTTCGAGGATTATTGTAAGGCAGCGGCTCTCAAAGTGTGGTCCCCGGATTACAAGCAGCACCTGGAACTTGGTAGGAATGCAAATGCTTGGGCCCCACCCCAGACCTACGGAATCAGAAACTCTGGGGATGGAGCACAGCCATCTGTGTCGTGAAAAACTTTCTGGGTGATTCTCACTTGGGACCCCCCCATTTCGAAGGACAAGTACTTGAGAGGGAAGCTGTCACTCAGCCTTGCCTGCTATTTGGGTTTTTGGGCATCTTCCACCTTTGCCCAGCTTCTCCTTTTCTGCCTTAAAAACCCCCTTTACCAGCTCTGCGCCTGGGTGGCCTTCAAGAATCAATCGACCACATCTATAAAAGTCTCAGCTTCCTGGAAGGAGTTGCCCCAGAGATGGGGATGCGAAAGGTTATTATTAGAACTTTGTCTTTCTGTCCCCTCCCTTCAATCTGGGGTCCTAAAGAACCTGGTCAATGTTACTCACTTTCAGAAGGGCAGACAGAGCTGGAGACAGAGGCAGTCAGTCCCTGCTTCTAGCATCCCTCAGCACCTGCTACCCCCAAGCCCCCAGTCCACATGGGTCTCCAGCCTCAGCCATCAGACCTCTCCCTATGCACCATACTTCCTCATCACTGTATCCCAGAGCTGGACACGTATTCATTTGTTCATTCATTCATTTATTCATTCATTCAACAAACTTTTCTTGTGCCCCTACTATGTGCTAGGCTTGGTTCTAGGTGCCAGAGTCAGAACTGAACAAAACAAAGTTTCTGCTCTTGTGGAGCTGACATGCCAGTGGGGGAGATAGAAACAAGCAATAAGTCAATAATAAATCATCTTATGGTAGAAGCTCTCTAAGTTTTGAATGAATGAATAAAGCAGACAGCACAGGCATGTGCTCTGGATCTACACAGACCTGAACTCCGATCTTGACCTTGTCTCTTCCTAGGCATGGAAGTTTAGGCAAACCATTAGCCTCCTTGAACCTCCCCAGCCTCATCTATAAAATGGGGATAGTGATAGTATCCACCTTAAAGAGAGCCAGGCATTTTCAACGAGTGAAATGCTAAGCTCAGGGCCTGGCACACGTTAAGTGCACCATGAAGCTAGATATTAGTGTTGTTGTTATACAAGGTCACATGGCTGAGCCTAAGAACCGAGCTGGGCCTCGTCTAGAGGGTCATTCACTGAGGCATCCATGGAGTCCCCGAGCTGGAAGGGACCCCCCAGTGACTGACTCCTGATTTTAAAGAGCGGGCATGTGAAGATCAGAGGGGTTCTGCACTTGTTCAGGTCCAAAAGCATGAAGTATGGGGCCCCAGTGCCTCGGGGAGATTTGCTCTTGCCCTCCCTCACCCTGTTTTGTTCTGCTCTGACCCCCCCGACCTTCACCAGGTTGGCCCGAGCCTGCACTGCGCTGGCAGACAGACCCAGGTTTGAATCCACTGTCACTGAAGCTGCTCTTTCTGCATCTACATCTGAGTGTTCTGGCATCTCGAGGTCAAACGAGGTGACACTCATGCAGACCCCAGCACTGGGTTGGGGACACATTACACACCCTGGTAATACTTCTTTCTCACCTCCCAGCCTGGGCAAATGGATCATCTGCCCCTTTCCAAACCTGTCCTAGACTCCCCGGCCTTAGCGCCTCTGCTGATCCCAATGCCTTGTCTGGAATTCCCTGCCCCCAGCCCTCCCAGCCTGTGGCCTTCCTGCCTGCAGCCTCCATACCTTCACTAGTGCCCGCTGTCTCTCCCTCTCCACAGAGCTCGTCTGTACCTCCCGGTCTCTGCCTGGTATTACCGTTCATTCGTGTATATACACACAGAGCTGGAAGCAACATGCAGTTCGAATGGAAGCAGTATCTTGGTGCCGTTAGTTAAGCACTTACGATGTGCTGGGCACTGCACTTGGCACTCCCATACATCGCGGCTCCTCGCAAAATCCCAGTGAGATATGTATTATTGTGCCCAATTTACAGGTGAAGAAACTGGGGCTCAGGGCCCCTGAGCTGGTGCTCAGAGCCACCCAGCCAGGACATGGTATCTCTGGGAGTGGGGCCTGATTCAACTTTACCTCCTTCATTGCCCAGCCCAGGGTTGCTGCTCAGTAAATGTCTGTTGGAAGAGTTTAGTATGCTCTTTAAGAACCGAGTTCAGCAGGGACGGAGGGAAGGAGGAAGCAGAGAAGCAGGCCAGTATCTGGCCTGGTTTTTCTCGATCATTTAGGTTGTTGGTGAGCAGCCAGCCACAAAGACCCTGCCTTGGGCTTCTGAGCTGTGGCATATTGGCTGCACGTAAAAATGAGAGGCTGGCCTGGAAGCCCGAGATGGAGTCACGGCTGGAATCTGGGCTTGGGTGGAAGTATCTGATAAGTGGCTTGATGATGATGGGGGTGTGGGGGAGACGTGCCACTCACTGGAGTCCCTAAGATCGGCCACCAATTTGTCTCCAGCACTGTCCTTTCTGGCTCTTTTAAAACCACCTCCCTCCGTCCCAGCCACAAAAAGGGCAGCTGACATCACAAGGCCAGGCTCCTCACTGCATCTGACCTTGCTAGAGATTCTCCATTCTTGTTTCTGGCATAAAACTTTCATAAATGACACCCACATTCAGAATCCTTATACTTTTCCCAAAGCAATTTTCTGTCTCTAGACAATTTTCACAGTGAGCCCAGGCAGGTCCTAGGATTAAACTGTTCACCCCATTTGTCTGCCGCGGGAACCTAAGTGCGGTCAAGGTCACAGCTGGTGAAGGGCAAGAGGAAGCAGAGTATGGGGACGCGCTGGACTTTACATTCAGGCAACAGATGTTTATTAAGTGCCAGCTTTGGGTCAGCTATGGGCTGGATATTAGGTATAAAGGATAAATACAATCATCAATAAACAGGTATGTAGCACTTAGTCTGTGCCAGGCATTGTTCTAAACACTTCATGCATGAACACAACTAATCCTCACAACAATCCTATGAGATACGAACTATCATTATTCTTAGTTCAGAGACGAGAAAACTGGGGCCCAGAGTAGTTACTTGAATTGCCAAAGTCACAGAGCTAGAAAGTGGCAGGGCTGGGATTTGACCCCAAACGACTTGAACCTAGAGGGTCAAGCACCTACACGGTCTTCTCTGAGACCAGCAGAAAGGACGATCACAGGATCAGGTGCCACATAGCCTGTTGGAAAGAGTTCCTCAGACCTGGTTTGAAATCCCTATTCCACCACTGTGTCCTAGCTCTTCGAATAGGCCGAAGCACCTTCGACCTCAGTTTGCCCACCTGCAAAATGGAGACAGCTCCCAACGATGCTGGGACGCTGAGAAAGAATGACGCTGGGATGTGCTCCGGGAATGTGGGTCAGAGCTGAATGGAGAAGGACAAGGCTGGACCCCCAGCCCCTCACTTGTTCAGAAAGCAAAGCCTGGGGAGCGAGATATTTATTCCCTTTCCTGATTCTCGGCCGGGCCCTGGCTGGCTGTTTTTCCTGGCTCTCCTACCGTGCTGGAATCGTCTATTTGGGTGAAGCCGAAACAGGTTTTGAGACTCGAAGTTACAGGACACGCGGGCAAGATGTTGGGGAGGATAGGAGATAAGGAATTTCCAGCCCTGGAATCTGAGAACCTGTGAGCCGGCGGGCTCCTGGCGGATCCGTTGGCCTCATCTCCTCAGGTTACAGAGGGGAGACTGAGGCCCGGAGAAGGACAGAGTCTGTCCAAGGTCACACAGCCAGTGTGCGCAGAGCTGGGATCAGAACCCAGACAAACGCTCGGGCAAAGTTCAGGGAAAATTCCAAATTCTCCTGGATTCCCTACAAGCTAGGGAGGAAAAAAGAATCTGTTCTTTTCGGGTTGTTCAAATTTAGAAAAAAAAATGCACCAGTTTTTCTTTGGCTTATACGACGGAGCTCTCAGACCTAACAGACTGCCTTTCTTCTTCTGATCTTGGGGGTGCAGGGCCCCTCCTCCCCCTTTCACATGACAGACACAGCTCTGAGCCTTTAGCATCCAGACATCCCGAGACCTACGATGTGCTCAGGCCCCAGGTCATGGCTACTCACCATCGACCCCGATCTTGCCGTCCCCATCCTTGTCTCCAGCAGCCAGCAGCGTCTTAGTCTCTTTAGCGGACAGGTCTCTGGCATCTGCAGAGAAGCCCTTCAGGATGGATCTGGGAAGAAAAGCCAGGGAGGGAGTTAGGTCAAGGTCACCTTGCAGGAACACCGTAGGGACGGTGGGCTGGCATCTGTGCAGGGGAAGTGGGCAGCTGGGACAGGCGGCAAGCAGCGGGCATGCGCGCAGCTGTGCTGGGACAGGCAGCTCCGGCTGTGGCTGTGTTTTCGTCGGTGGGTGTGCAGGAAGGACAGGCTGTCCTCAGCGAAAGTTTGACCTCACTTCAGGCAAGGCACCTGCATTGTGTATTTATTCAGCCGACACAACCGACACAAAAGTGTCTGCTCTGTGCTGAGGCCATGCTGGAAACTGGGGGCACAGAGATGATTCTAGGAAGCTGCTTGAAAAAATGAGGAGGGGTCAAGTACTCCGAGGCAGACCACACGGTACGGTGGATGCGATGTTGGAGAAGCAGAAAGGGGTGCTCAAAGGATACATCCACCCCACCTGGGGTGAGGGCAAGAGTCAGGGGACGCCTCCTGGAGAAGGTGATGGCTGGAGGACAGGTAGAAGTCAGCCTGTGTGTGTGTGTGGGGGGGGCGCACGCGTTGGGCATGCGTGGGTAGAAGGAGAAGGGTCTAGACAAAGGGCATCATTGTGGGGATCATTTGGGGTGAGACTGGAGGATGGGGAAGCCCCTACTTGAAAAACTCCTCTTCATAACCCCCTCCTTCTCATGCTGTCAAAATCTGAGGCAGTCCTGGCCAGAGAGTGACAAAAGGCACAGCTGGGAAAGGCAAAACTGCATCAGCGAAGGAACTTTGCTTTGCTTCCTGGTCCCCCCGAGCTGGTTCTGCAGCCCTGATTTGCCCAGAAACTGCTCTACTCTCACTGGTGCAGAGGGGCGGGGGTCTGCAGGACGGTGGAAGGTGCCTTTTAGACGAATGAAAATGAGTGAAATCCTCAACCTAGTGCTCTCTGTCTCGCTATGTTTAGGCAGAGAAAAACGACCTCTTCAATCGTATTAAATTATTAAGTAGCAGCATACCATTAGCAATATTAAGTGGCTATAATTTAACCTAGTTAGTTGCCCTTTAGGAAGCAACAGTGGTCAGGCCAGGTTATTTTCTGCGAAGGGAGCAGACAGAAGGGCAGAGCTGATGGAAACTCGAAAGCGAGCGTCCCCACCCCGCGCCCTCTCCCCAAGCCGCGGGCCGGGCAGCCCCTGCAGGCCTGTGTACCCCAGCTCATCCTCCTCGATGAAGCCACTCTTGTCCTTATCCAGGATGTGGAACACCTTCTTCACCTCATCCGGGCTCTTCTTCTTCAGGCCGACCATTTGGAAGAACTTTTTGTGGTCGAAGGAGTCAGCAGCTGTGGGGGTGAGGGTGGGGGTGGAGGGGGGATTAAAATGAGGACAAAGAAGGGGCAGTAGAGAAGGGGGGAGAAGGGGGCTGTCACAGCATCTGTTGATTGACTCCCCTGTGCCAATCCTGGGGGATGGAGGGGATGCTCCCCCATGGAGAGGCTGCAGGTTGAGAGGGTGCTTTGCCCAAGGTCACAGGGCTAGAGGTAGAAGAGGTGAGTTTACACCCAGATCTCCCCGGCTCCTAAGCCTGCCCCCACCCTTCGCTGTACCCTTCGCTGATAGTGGGAGTGGCCTTCAAAGGCAGAGGGGCTCCCTGAATTCCAGGAAGCCTTTTGGGAAGTGGCTGAGTGGGAGTGGGCAGGGAAATTGGAAGGGGTGTGAACACGATGTGCATATTTTGGGGTGGGGGGGCAGGGGAAAAGAGGGGTAGCGTTTTTCTTGGCCACAGATCGTGTTCCCAGAAAATTGACACAGAGAGGACAAATTTCTCTCAAGGTCACACAGTGAGAGGAAGAGGGGGAGGACTCAGCAGTCCTGGCTTTGCTACAGAAATCCATTCGGTGGGAATTGAGGGGCTGTTAAAGGCTCTCCAGGAATTTCCAGTTAAGTTTCTATTCCAAGAGAGCAAGGTGGGTTAAGAGGTGGGTGGGTTATTGCAGCGCCCTGGGAGGGGGGCTTCCCCAGATTCTTCCTGCCCAGGGGAGGAGGTGCCAAGTGGAAAGGAAATGAGATCCCCTTCCCCAATTTTCTATGTCCTGATCTACTTTCTAAGAATACCTGGGAAAGGTATTCTTAGTGTTAGATGGAGCCACTGTGTGTGTGGAGGTGCCGTTGAGAGTCATCTCCTCCCCCCATCCCAAGCTGCAGGGAAGAAAGTTGCTCTGACCACCTCTGACACTAGGGTGGGGTAACAGGACCTGGGGGGGACCCCCTGGTCTAATTGATCCCTTCCGCCTGCTCCGTGACCTTTGGCAAGTTTCCGACCCTCTCCCAGTCTCAGTTTCCCCAGTCTGGGTGATGGGAGGGAGGAGGAAGAGAGGCAGGCAGCAAAGTGCTCAAGTCCAGGGCAGCTCAGCGAGGTGCGCCAGCTCGCTTTCCTCCCGGGACAGCCTAAGGAGGCTGGAAGTTGCAAGCGCAGAGGATGCTCCCGCTGGGTTAGGCAGAGCAGAGCCCCAGCGGCGGGAAGGTCACCGGGCTCTGAGCCTTGGGATGGGGGTTCGGACAGTGGTGGGGCCAGCCCCAGCCACCGCCGCCGGGCAAGAAAAGTCCTGTCCGGAACGGGGGTCGAGGAAAGGGGTCGGCGAGAAGGCGTGAGCGCCTGCAGCTCCTTCCTCCTGCCTTACACGGGAAGTGCCGAGCGCTCACAGGGACCGGAGAGTCCTGCCTTCGACCCCCGGTATTATTAGCCTTTGGTCCCGGACCCCAATCCTTGCAGTACGGCCACCCAGCCTTTGGCGCCAGCAAGTTTCGGTTGCTCGCGCAGGGCGTCCTGCCTCCTTACCCGCTCCAAGTCCCGCCCGGATGGAGTTTGAGTAATGCCGAGGACCCCCACCTCCCCGCCCCGCCGGCGCCCGACGGGATGCGCGGACAGAGGGGCGCTGGGGAGGACCGCCCGCCGTGTGTGCGCAGGGGCCGGGGGCATGGATGAGGGGAGAGGGCTGGGTGGGGGGGAGCGCGCTGCTCACCGGCAAAGGCCCCCACTGCCTTCTTGATGTCCTCAACGCTGAGCAAGTCTGTCATCGACATCCTGCAACTGTTTGAGCGGGCAGAGCAAGTGCGAAAAGATTAAAAAGTGCTTTTCTCATCATTTCTGCTCATATGACCGGCGCTGCAGTGCTGCGCGCCGGGCGCACGCGGGCCGGACTGGCGCAGAGCCAGGGGGCGCGGGGCCGGGCGCACCGCCAGAGTAGCTCTGGCCGGCTGCGCGTCCCGCAGCCGCCCCCTCCCCCGCCCCGTCCGGTCGCGTCCCGGTCGGGGGTCCTCGCCATCCTACGCAGGCTGCGGCCAGGGCGACCTCTGGCATCTACGGGGCGCCTGCGTCACCAGCCGGGTTTGGAGGGTTCGCCGGCCGTCAAGGGCACGCAGGCGGCGCTGGCCTGGGGCAGCGCAGGGTCTCGGGTCGGTGCATCTCGGAGGATGTCCCGGCGCTTAGGGGAGGATGCGGACAGGCAGAGGCCAGACCCACACCCTCGTAGCACCCGTGGCCCTGCTCCCATCCTCTCTTCCCTCCTACCTCAGCCTCCGCTCTTGTCTGTCCTGAATGCAAATTTATGCCGCAAAATCTGAGCGCTGAGGTCTGGAAACCTGACCCACTGGACGCTGGGAGGGGGTGGCCCAGGTAGGCGGGCTCTCCTTGGGCTCTCTGCGGGTGCCCCATCCCACATCTGGCCGCGGATGCGCATAATGAAACCTGATTTTTTTTTTCCTAGTCTGACTTTTGAAAGAACCCTTCTCAGATCCTCATAACTACTTGCGTTCCTGGTCTCCTGAGCCGCAGGTTATCGTGCTGGTCCAGACTCCTGCCCCCCAAAACTTTGGGGGGCTGGTGGGGCCTGGAGAGGCTACTGAAATCTCTCTTGGAGAACAGAAGGCCCAGGTTTGGGGAGAGGGTGGTACCTTTAGACCACGCTTTCCAGACACCAGAAGCGGGTTCGATGGCCTGAACTTCATCTCTGGGAAACGTGACACTGAATCTTTCTGCAGCCAGAAACCAGTTGCATTCTTTCCCACGGTCTCCGGGCTACAACCAGCTGCCTCTACAGTGTGTGGCGCACAGTCAGGAAGCCTGGGTTCTAGATCTGGGGCTGTAGTAAGTCCCTGTGTGACCTTGGCTTGTGAGTGTCCCCATTTCTGGGCTTCTGTCTCTTTCTGCTGTGTTGACGGTATTGGTGGTTCTTTGTGGTAGGATTTTGCGACTCCAACTTGAGGTGTGGGTGAGTGGGCAGGGGCTGAGACTAGTGGTCCTTGGTGGGGAGGGGCCTGTGGAGAACTGAGTAGCTGCCCAGTAGCTCAAGGTCCCTCACACTCACTGTCAACACTGTCCCTCAGCTCAGCCCTGGGTGGCTGCCCTTCCTGGAAATGTTAGGACGCTGCTGGCTCTGGCTGCCCCCTCCTTGTGAGTCCGCACCTACAGGCAATAGCCCACCAGCCGAGGCTGCAGCTTCTGACCCAGCCTCTCTTGATGTGAGGCCTTCTCTGGACCCCTCAGCTGGCTCTGCTGGCCCCGTGCCCCAGCCGGGCTGTTAACTTGGACATGCTGGGCTTCTGTGCTGTCATGTCGACCCCTGGGCTCAGTTCACTCCAGAGGCTTTAGTTGGAGAAACTCTACTGGTGGGGAAACTGAGGCCAGAGCGAGTCAGTGAATGGCCTAAGGCCACGCAGTGGCAGAGAGATGCCCACTCCCAGGGCTGCTAACTTGGAATTCGGTGAACCCTCTGTGGGACTCCTTCCCCACGCCCAGGACCCAGCCCTATCAAGTTCCACAGGGCTGAGCCACACACCTTCCCCTGGAGAGTCCCCGAGCCCTGGGCCCAGGGTGAAGGCTCAACAGAGGCCCATCATTCTCCCTCCTCCCTCCATCTCTTCTGCTGCAGAAACCTCCCATCACCTCGACACCCACCACCGCACCAGATGATGTCCTTTGGTCAGCCCTCCATACCCCCTCTTCCTGGCTCCTGAGCCCACTCATGGGCCTCCTCTGATGGCATCGTCAGAGTCCACAGATGTCTGGCTCCACCCCCTCCTTCTGCAGGAACCTGAGGCCCTGCCAGGGCGGTGTATCTGCCCCAGGCCACACCACGAGTTGGGAAGGAGACCCTAGGAATTCAGACTCTCAGGCCTGGACTCCACAGCTGCCTACCTTTTGGCAGCCCTTGTGTCACTGGGGAAAGGGGAGATGTGGCTGTCCCTTCCAGCTGGCCTCCTCCCCACTGATCCCTCCATCCTCCTGCACCCTCAGTGGCTGCCACTCACCTCAGGTGGGAACCTGCAGAGAAAGGCTGGGCTGATGGGAAGTCTTGTTGGGAAGTGAGCCTGGTGGTGGGATGGCCGCATATATAGGCTTATGCTCCGGCTATTTTGGGAGGTGGCACTCCCCCCAGCCCTTGGCCCCCTCCCCTTCCGGTGTCAGGTACTCTCCACTGTGAGGCTGGGTGTCTGTATCACATTCAGCCTCCCTGGGCCCATCGGTCTAGGCCTATTAATAACCTTGGCCCCTGCCTCCCTCCAGCACCCAAAGTTGAGGCTCAGGCCAGGATCTCCTCTTCCACGAAGCCTTCCGTGACCACTTTAGAAGGCAGCAGTATTTCTTTCCTCCAAAATTCTGCAAGGAAAGGAAAAGCAAGCGCAAAGGAATCGAACAGGAATTGTCTCCCATGCTCAGGACGGGTCTGGGTTCCCATACACACACCATCTCACTACAGCCTTGCAGTGCAGGCCTGGTACCTCTCAAACGGATGCGGAAACTGCGCAAAGACTCGCTGTTCCTGATTTACTACTCAAAGCTGTGCGGCTGGTGTGAGAGAGGTTCCAGCTCTCTCAAGAGATGATTGAGTGCCTGGTGGAAAGACACGATCTGCATGTTCTCTGACAAGTCCCTTCCTCTCTTTGCATCTCAGTCTTCCCGTCTGTAAAATGAGCTCAAACAGGAGCAAATTTGGCTCTGTCGATGGGTTTGGGCGACTATAAACCTCCTGAAATTATATGCAAAAAGCCACGTGCAGGTACACTTTTGTGAAGCAAAGGCCCATAGCTTTCATGGTGTGGTCTGTCTTGAATTGGAGATGACCATCCAAGGGGTGTGTTTTGAAAACCATGAATGAATGAATGAATGGATGGATGGATGGATGAATGAACAAATGAAGGAAAGAATGAATTTGTCAAATATTTATTATCTAGTATGAATACTGAAAGGTTTATTTTCTCATCGCCAACCTTAAAAAGAATCTCCAGGGTGCTGACATGGTCCATGGTGATGTCCAGTTCTTGATGGTGACATGAGGAAGTCCAGGCTTCATGCAAAGGCTTTTGGGAAGAGAAGCTGCCCTAGACCATCAGCTCTAAGAGCGGAAAAGGCAGGGCGTGGACTGGATGTGGAAGCCAGTGCTGGAGCCTGGATGGAGTCTGGACTGGGTGGCAGCAAGGAGCAGAGCAAGGGATAGGGTAGCATTTCTGAGGGAGACGCTTTCTGACTTGAGAGCTGTGATGAACAAGAGGGACAAAACCAAGCTGACTCTAAGTTTTTAAGCTGGGGTCCTTTGGAGGATGCAGGTGCTGCTTTTGAAGATGGTGGGTCTGGGGAGGAGGTGAGGCCAAGCTGGGAAGATGACCGGTTGGAACTGAGATCCTAGGATGTGAAGGCCAGGAAAGCGTCCATTGCGATCAGCTACAGCCTGCTTGTATTATGTAGAAACCAAGGCCAAGGTGACAGACCCAAATCGCACAGAGAGTAGGATGAGCCAGGACATTGTACTGGGTTTGGGGTGTCGGAAGGACATTCTAGTGGAGGCACTCAGGGAGTCTGAACTCTGGAGAGAGCTCCGGGCCTGGACACGGAGCTTCGGTGGTCATCAGGGAGGTCAGGAAGCTGAAGTCACGGGCATGGCTGAGCTCAGAGAGGTGGACATGCTGTGGTCTTGGGGACTAACCCTTGAGGAAGGTCCCTGGTGGGGGCTTAGGACAATAAACACATTGGTTTCTTGAGCAATGTGCCAGATACGGTGTCCTCTGCATTATGTTTTTGTCCTTGTACCTCCTTACGAGGGAGGCACTGCCTTTTCCATTTCACTAATGAGGGAACGGGAGTCAGAGAGGTTAGGCAACTTGCTGCGGTCACAAAGGAGAGGCGGGGCTTAAACCCAGGCCTGTGTGACCCCAAAGCCCTTGCTCCTTTCCGCTGTACAATCTTGCTTCTTGACGAGACCAACAGAAGGTACACGCTCGGGGCAGTGCCCACCATGAGTGGATCCTCTGGAATCAGGGTGGCCTTCCTCTCTGTCCCTATATGTCTTCTTCATGTGCCTGTAATTAAGCACATCTAGATGGGCCGACCCATATTGTAGGCACGCATTTATTGAGGATGTACTGTGTACTTAGTACTGTATCACATTATTTCATTTTACCCTCGGTGTAGCCCTCAGAGGTTTGAAGAAATAGAGTCTCGGAGAGGTTTAGTGACTTGCCCAAGGTCACACAGCTAGTGAGTAAATGAGAGAGCTGAGGTTTAAACTCAAGGCTTTCAGTTCTAAAGGATTTTTACCGCACACACTTGAAGTAGTGTGGGGCTGTCTTGACGCCCGAGTATCTTGAAATCTTTTCCAGTTTCTTTTGCTCCGAATTCATGCTAATTCGAGCAGCCATCACTTTGTTAATTTGGTTTTACAGGGGCTGCAATGCCAGAGAAGAGGTTTATCAGGCCTGTAAGTGACAGAAAGCCTGACTCGAGCTGGATTGATTCTGTACCTGTGCGAGGTCAGGGATGTGAACTAGACTTATCATGGCGATTATTTCATAATATATGCAGATACCAAATCATTATGTTGTACACCTGAAACTTGTATCATACTGTATGACAGTTATACTTCAATAAAAACAATTCCATGCCCCCCACCTCCGAAAAAAAGGGGGATTTATTGACTCCTACGACTGATAAGTCTAGACAGGTTCGGGTACAGCTCGATCTGATCTCAAACACCGCTACGAGGATCAGTTTCTCTCTATTTCTCAGCAATACCTTGTTTTTTGTTGGCCACCTTCATAGACTGGCTGTTCCC